CAAAATTATGGGGAGGCTGTGCCTCCCCCGACGAGCCGCCACTGTAGTGAAGAATATAATCATTTTTAGACTGGAATTTGGAGATTTGCCTTCTTTTGAATATGGACTGTTCATATCTAGAATATGTGAAAGTCTTTCAAAACTGAGTAGCAGATTGTGAGAAAATACTAACCTGGGCTCTTTGTGTAATTAGTTGGGATGCGTTAAATTTGGCGACCACACTCTTCAGAACTTCATTTACAATGGACGGCAGCACACGCTCATCGTAGTCCTTCCCCAGATGCTGGTACATGACAGGAAGGTTGGAAGCCACCGGTCGTGACAGCACACGCAATGCGATGTTCACCATCTGCAGGTCTGACCACAACTTACTAACAACATTACATATTCATGTAAGAAATAACAACTTAAAGACTTACAGATTTGGTAGCAACATTTAACTAATAGGTGAACGAATTATGACAAATTTTATGAAAAAAAAGCATGACTATGACAATGAAATAAAATTTTACAATTTACCTTTGCTTCCTGTTAAAGATGATATTTTTCTTGGTTTCGCTCTGATATCATATATGATTGGATATTGAAACCATGGTATCCTATAAGAACAATGTTGTTATTTTTTTAGACTTTTTAAAGCTACAGCTTTCCTTTTTTATTATGGTGAGATAAAAAATTTGGTTTGCTTTCAAAGAGAACAAGTATAGAAAACTAGTCAAAACAAGTCATTAAAAACAATTACCTGAAGTGGAGACCCTCAGAGAGGACTGTATCCATCTGCATCCCTCCAATTCTATTAAAGACAACTGCACGTTGACCACCCTCCACTAGAAACAAGACAATTCGTGTGAGTGATGGCATTACCAGTCCTCTAAATTTATTATATTAATTTCAAAAGTTTAACGTTCAAAAATACTTTGTCCAAAAAGTCTCTTATACCCATCAAGGCTACATTTACTTGGTAAAAAATACTGTAAAAACAGTAATATTGTGAAACATTATTACAATTTAAAATGTTTCCTATATTAATATATTTTTTTATTCATTCCTGCAAAAGCAAAGATTATTTTAGCAGCCATTACACCAGTCTTCAGTGTCACACAGTCCTTCAGAAATTATTCTAATATGCCAATTTATTATTATTAAGGTAAAAAAACAGTTTTGCAAGGAAAAACCATGCATTAAGAGCCAGGGGGTGAAAACTTTTGAACAGAATGGAGATGTGTACATTTTTCTTATTTTGCCTAAATATCATATTTTTTCATTTAGTACTGCCCTTCAGAGGATACAGAAGATAGTTACATGTTTCTCAGAAGACAAAATAAGTTAAATTTACCCTGATCTTGAAATTCAAAATGTTTTCACCCCCCGGCTCTTGATGCATGGGTTTTCCTTCTGGAGCATCAGTGAGCGTTTGAACTTTCTGTAATAGTTGCATATGAGTCCCTCTGTTGTCCTCATTGTGAAAAGATGGATCTCAAAATCATACATGAACTTTTGGAAAAGGTTAAAATACGCAGAAGATGCTGGAAAACCAAAGAATGTCCAGGAGCTGGGGGATTTTTCTGAAGAACAGCAGGCAGTTGAACTGCTCAGGACCAACGCAGGACTCATGAACAACTATCACAAAACAGAAAAACAGTCGTGGATCATCCAGGAAATGACACAAAGTATTAAGATTCACGGGGTCATTTTTATAAATTCAGCTATTATTTTTTCTAGTGGAGTATATATAAACATCTGATATATGAAATAGCTTATTCAGGACAGTACTAAATAAAAAATAACATGC